AATGAGATTTCAAAGCGTATCAATTCTTAAAATGAAATATTTTAAGGAATGATACAATGCATGGTGGCCTCAGAGATCGGGATGTAGGAATCGCATTCTTGGGGGCAGGTCCCGAAACCCATACGGATCCACTTCTTGTTTAGTGGATTTATGGCTCTACACTTTTCATTAGACATACATTTTTACCGCTTCTTGTATAGTGGTATGATGAGCTGCACACTTTCATTATACAGACATATTCTATTATGTGAGTATTTCTTTTTTTTTAAAAAAGGATGATCGGTTCCGGGTGTATATCTTTAGACCGTGAGTACCTTTATTTTAAATGCTTTATAAAATTATATCCTACTGGGCCTTTCGCTCACCTTTTCCTATTTTCAAATGTATTAAACCCCTCCAGGCGACGCCAGAAGTAGTGCGGAGTAGGTAGCTATTACTGGCGACGTGGACTGGTTTCAGGAAAGCGAAGAGTTGTATTTCCTCTAATCCCTTATCTCAAGGCATGTATGAAAGATTATGGATTGTAAACTTAAATATTACTAGACTGTGGTTGATGTCACATTTACTCTTGTTTATATTCATGTATGCTAAACACCTGTGAGAATTCCTGACATGATACCAGGGACGTGGTTTTAAACTGGTTTGGTTGGAAATTCCACTACCGTTCTTAAAATTAAATTTCTCTTGAATGCAGGGGCTTGTTTAGAAATACCTGGATGTTTTGAATTTAAAAAATATATATATTATAATGTTTGCAACATTATATGCGAATCATTCTCTTAAACATGTTTAAGTTTCTAAACAAGCCTCCACGTCACTAACCCCGGTTTGGGGGCGTGACATCTCCTAACGCTAATGGTGACGTTGGGTAATAAGTTACACTAAGCGTTAAAGTAACTTCGTGAAATCTACCTAAAAAATTAAATACGAGTTCGGCAATTTGTCAATTAGTTTCATCTATAAATCATGCTCCTAATTTTGCACTAACATAATTTGTTATGGCATCTTTATAGGGGATGCATTGTTCAAGCATTATATAAGTAGAGTTCCATCTTATGGGCATATCTAAGGCTAATACTCTAGGATTTTGATTACATGTTTGTAGAAATCTAAACCAATCTTGTATTCTTTGATTACTACCTTGAATCCAAGCAATGTTATCTCTAATTCTTTTAATATGACCTGACATTGATTTTAAACTGAATTTTACTATTAAATTAATTAATTTGACATGCACAACGTTTGTGAAATATATCATTATTACCGAATAAACTTAAATCATTTTTAAAAAATTTTATTACTTTAGTATTTGCAGTTGCATTATCTAATGTTATGGCCATTATTCTATCTCTTAAACTATATTTATAAATGACAGATAAAATTGTGTTATATATTAAATTGGCAGTATGTGATCCTATAACACATTTAAAACCTAAGATTCTCTTATCCAAATCAAAACCTTTAAAATAATATCCGGTTACAGCTAAATCATCTTTGTTGGTAACGGCAGACTAAATATCTGCCGTTAACGCAACGCAACCACTAGTAGAGTGTAAAAAGTTGATTAATGCTTCATTTTCTTGTTTATATAATTTTAATGCATCTTTCCTAAGAGTAGTTCTTGAAAAAAAATTGTGCATTAGGATTATGTACAATTTTAATATAATGCTGCCAATTCTTTTGTTCAGTAAAACTAAGTGGTTGATCTAACGTGGCTACTAATCGTGTCATTTCCATACGATCAACTTGCGGATCGTATTTCCATGTGCTTAGACCTCCGGTTTGGCAGTCAAACGATAATTGTGTTTGGCGGAGATCGGCTCCGTCTCCTTGCTTTTGAAGACAATTTTCAGAGTGTCTTCTAAAGTGTGTAATACCGTGAATAGTGTTACATTATAATTTATCACCACAATATTTACATTGAGCTATCTATTTAACGTTACCGTTATTGTCGACATCCTCGAATGTGTTAAAGTGCTCCTAAACTGTTGAGGTGTGCTTATATTTTTCTTAAAAATTACAACACTTTCACCAATACTATCGCTTACCCACCGTGTCTAAAAATTTTCAAGCATCGGACATGTCCGTCGCCCGAACTTTCATCACTAACAGGTAAGTGAAGTGAGGAAGGAGAAGGTTAGGAAAGGATTCCCGGAATATTCTAGTGCAACTACCTTTAATCGAACCAAAATATTATTAAAAAACCAATAGTTATATATTTGATTTTTCTTTCCCCACCGTTATTTTAACATTTTTTTTTTAATAAAAGGGCCAAAAAAATAAAGAAAAAAGAAATTTTCACGTGCATTGGCACGCTTATGCCTCATGAGTCATAACCCATGCTTAGCGTTTACCAAATTTCAACGAGGCTGTTCGGCGAACAGCTCTTTTTTAGTTAAAAACACAAAAAAAATAATTCGAATTATAATTTTATTTAAATTCATGTTCTTTTAAGTTTAAATTTGAGTTTAAACTCAAATTTAGGATTAAAACTCAAGTTTAAGTTTTCTCTTCAACTCAAGTTCAGAAACTCAAACTCAAATTAATGAACAATATTTTTTCTATTCTTAATTCTGATTGAGATGATTTTTTTTCTATGTGTTGACAACGAAAAGACGAATAAAACCTCACTCATATATCATATTAAAATTTGTCATCAGTATTGAGTTTTTATTAAAATACTATCTAAATATAAATTCAAATTTTGACCCACTCAAACACAAACGCAAAAAAATTCTTATCTCAAACTATAACTCAAATATACACAACTAAACATAAACTCAAATTATAACTCAAACTTAACTCAAAATTTACACTCAAATCACCTAACTTAAAAATAACAAAAAAAAACAGCCCCAACGTCACGAGGCTCAACCGTCCCCGAAGATTCTCGATTTCCAACCGAGATAAATACGAACGTTACACAGAGACAAGCTCACTCGACTATCATAGAACTGTCAACACTGAATCACCAAAGCGGGACCCACAAAAACCTCTCTTGACCGCACGCCAAGTGTACCCTAACGATCTGAATTCAACGGCGTGTGATGTTGTCGAATTACTAATCTGTGGGAATCAAAGTAGCTTCGATTCCATCTCTATATATACGCACACATTGTGGGTGGTCGCCCAGACTCTCGATTAATCTGGTTCTCCATTTTTTTTTCCTTCTTTCGATTTCTTCCAAAGAGTTGCAGATTCGTCCTTTTCATCTCCAAGTACGTGATTTTCTCTCTGTTTTTTCATTTTATTTTGCGATTTATTGTTTGCGTGTTTGTTGTTTGGTATCGTCTGTTTTTTTCTTTGATTGTTGAATATTTATATATGTATAAATATATAATGATTTTTTGTGGGTTTGGGAAATTTTCAGAATGGGAAGCTCGGAATTCTCATGGAAGTTGGCGGATCACCCGAAGCTGCCGAAGGGGAAGACGGTGGCGATGGTGGTTTTGGACGGCTGGGGTGAAGCCAATCCCGATCAGTACAACTGCATCCATGTCGCCCAGACTCCCACCATGGATTCTCTCAAGACGGTAACTTTTCTTTGCCTTCTATTTTGTTTTTGTTTTTTGTTTTTTTGTTTTATTATGTCTGTCATTGTTTGATAGAATCCATTTCTGACCGAGATCTATTGATTCGGATCCATTTATATCGGTTTTCTTGTTATATTTTGTTGTTCTCGTTCCTCCTGTGCTTAAGGCTTTATGTTTGGTAAGAGGGGAATAAGAGAGAAGAAAGACATGCATAAATTAGGTGAGGAAAATAGGGAGGAAGGAAAGGACTTTTCTCGTATTGTGTTTGGTGTGGATTTCTTATTCTATTTAAAATTTGGGTTAGCTTGAAGGATTTGAAATCTCTCGCTCAATCTATTGGCTCGCTTTTCTCCTGTACCGAACAACGATTAGTAGCAAAATCCTTCCACCAATCCCCTTACCTCTACCTCCTACCATACAAGCTCTAAGTTTTGATTTTCCATTTAGTGACTTGATTGTTTTATGCTTTGTACTAACCATGAAATTCTAACTTCATGAACTGGGCATTTGTTGAACTGCAATTTCTATGTATGAAAGTTCCCATCGAAAGCGTGGATGGTCCATTAATGCCTCTGAGCGTTGTTGGGTTTGTTTGTGGTGGTCTAAAAAAAGAGGAGAATAAATATTTTAATGCTGAGAACTCATGGTGGGGGCTGTTAGACATTGAGGGTAGAGTGATTTATGTTGTATAATAGCTTGAATTGACACGAAGGGATATTTTAAACTTATGTTTATCTATTGTTGTTGATTTCGATAGGGTGCTCCTGAAAAATGGAGGCTGGTGAGAGCTCATGGTACTGCTGTGGGGCTTCCAACGGAAGATGATATGGGCAACAGTGAAGTTGGTCACAATGCACTCGGTGCTGGACGCATCTTTGCGCAGGGGTGAGTTTCTCTACGATTCCATGATAGTGATTGTGTGAAAGCACATCCTGAAAGCATTGATGGCTAACAATAAATTAGTCGTGCAACTAGCCTTTATTTTTATTTTATTAGATTTTTTTGTTTGTTTATTTTTAGTTTTTCTCCAATTGTGTAAGATTGTATTTGTTTCTCCCTTGGTACCAAGATGGGGTTTTTGTAGCATACAACTGTTTGCAATGGCACGTGCTGATTTTACATTTGATTTTTCCATAGAGCGAAGCTTGTTGACCTTGCTCTTGCCTCTGGAAAAATTTATGAGGGAGAAGGTTTTAAGTACATCAAGGAATCTTTTCAAAATGGCACATTGCATCTCATTGGATTGTTGAGTGATGGTGGGGTTCATTCGAGGCTCGACCAGTTGCAGGTAGGTTTATCAGTGGATTATTTAGTGTCATTCTATATGGGTATTTCCCAATCAAGATTATTTTTCCGTCCCTATTGTCTTTATTTGTATATCTGGTGATGCAGTTGTTGCTTAAAGGAGCTGCTGAGAATGGTGCTAAAAGAATTCGTGTCCATGTTCTTACTGATGGCCGTGATGTTTTGGACGGTTCAAGTGTGGGATTTGTGGAAACACTTGAAAATGATCTTGCAAAATTACGTGAAAAGGGTGTTGATGCACAGATTGCATCTGGTGGTGGTCGCATGTATGTTACAATGGATCGTTATGAGGTATGTAATGGCATGGCTTTTGGGATCTTTGTAAATGCAGATCTATTGCTTTTCCTGTGCATTGTGCTTTAGTAATTCATGTTACCATTCTATATACTTTGGAATTCAAGAGAGATATGGTCATTAATTTGTTCATGGTGATGTGTGGGGTCTTCATTTATTAGCGAACCTTTATTTGGGAATTTCACTGCTTTGTTCTTAGTTCTCATATTTTCAAATAAAAGAGTATCGTTTTATTGAAAGAAAATATATTGTCGCCTAAAAAGTAATAGTCAGAGTTAGCAGTCTCATTGCTGGTAGTAAGGGTCAAAGTATTCAATGGGTGCACCTGTTGTGCCGCATAATAGTTGTGGTGTATTCTTTTAATTTGCAGTTCCTTTTGTCTGTTAGCTGCATGTAGCTAAACACTGAAGAAATTATCTACGTTGTTTCCAGCCTTAAGCGAGCTTCTGGATCAATTAATTACTGGATTCCTATCCAGGCAGGCTAAATGAGGGCATAAGTGTCCCACAGGACCCCTTTAATTAGCAATAGGATATTTCTGCTTCTATTTAGTGATGTGTCAAGTGCACAAGTTTTCTTGTGTTTGCAAATTTTTACCTTCTAAAATCCAGTTTCTTGCTGGTCGTATATGTTTTTAGCTGATACAAATAATGCCTAATGAAGTACTTGACTATTTTATTATCTTGCAGAATGACTGGGATGTTGTGAAAAGGGGATGGGATGCCCAAGTTCTTGGTGAAGCCCCTTACAAATTTAGAAGTGCCGTTGAAGCTGTCAAGAAACTCAGGGAGGAAACCAACAGCAATGACCAGTACCTCCCTCCCTTTGTTATTGTTGATGAGAATGGTAAGCCTGTAGGACCAATAGTCGATGGTGATGCTGTTGTAACATTCAACTTCCGAGCAGATCGGATGGTTATGATTGCCAAGGCGCTTGAATATGAAGATTTTGATAAGTTTGACCGAGTTAGATTCCCTAAAATTCGGTACGCTGGAATGCTCCAGTATGATGGTGAGCTGAAGCTTCCAAGCCAATATCTTGTTGTTCCTCCAGAAATAGAGAGGACATCTGGTGAATATCTAGTGCACAATGGTGTACACACCTTCGCTTGCAGGTCAGAATTTACCAAGTTTATAATTTTTGCCACTTCACATGCATAGTAGAGATGTATTTCTACTAGGCATGACTGCAAATCAACTTTTTGGCCCTTTTTCTTTTGAAGGTGCATTTTGGTTCGCTTGCAAGTTAAAGCTCAATATTTGAATATGTATCTTTGCACATTTTGAATCCTGATCAATCAAATTTTAAGGCTTGATCATTCTATTGAATGAGAAATGTTTGTGGTTGATCAGTTGGTTTGAATACTGTTATTGCAACCTTTTAGGAATTAGCTATAGATTTTTGAGGAGTTGAATTGATGTACTCACACACATGCAATTCATGCATATTTGGAACTTTCTTGTGTGATACCGACCTAACTAGTTGGATTTGGAAGTTGACTTGTTTTCTCGAATTCAAGGGCTTCCTATTTGTGCGACTTACATTGTTATTTATATTTTCTGCTCTCAACAGTGAGACTGTTAAATTTGGTCATGTCACATTCTTCTGGAACGGAAATCGTTCTGGATATTTTAACCCTGAAATGGAAGAATATGTGGAAATCCCAAGTGATACCGGAATCACATTCAATGTTCAACCCAAGATGAAGGCCTTGGAGATTGCTGAAAAGGCAAGGGATGCTATACTTAGCGGGAAATTCCAGCAGGTATTATATACCTTGCCATGTGACTTGAACACATATCGTTTTGGACTCGCAATGTGTCCATCTGATTTGTTTTTTCGGATGTTACTCTAGGTTCGTGTCAACTTGCCAAATAGTGATATGGTGGGACACACAGGTGACATTAAGGCTACAGTAGTGGCTTGCAAGGCTGCCGACGAAGCAGTCAAGGTAAAGTGGTTGTAATTGTTTACTATTATTACAATTAAGTTAGAATGAGAATCCGTTATTTTGTGTGACGTGAAATTGTGAGGAGGCTATTCTAAACTAGGCTAAAAAGTTCTATTGCCTCGAACGTTGTTGTAAGGATCTTTAGAAGGATTTACCTAACTAGTATTTTTTGAAATTTCGGTATGGCTAGTGGGAAAAAACTTATTTTGGGAAAATTGTCCATAGAAATATAGTGGGGTAAAAAAAAATAAAAATAAAAAAAATTCAAGCAAGTATGTTTACTGGGTTTTCCACTTGAGTTGTAAATAAGTGGTCATGTACTTCTACAAGAAATTGGTGCTTGCAGCTATTCACACGAATGTGTTAAGTTGAAAAACCATGCGAATAAATAGATAAATAAAATAAAACCTCTTAGAAAATATACCCTCCCATAGTTACAGACAAGACCACTACCTAGAAGCACCTGTTTGCCGCCTTGATGCAAGTGCTATCCCTTAACTTTAGCAAACGGCAATTTTTCAGAATGTCTTGTTGAGTTGGGATGGGGATTAAACGGTGGCTAATTTTTCAGGGGAAAAAAAAAACTGAATTGTTGTGATCCAGTTTGATATTTTAGCAATTCTCTTTGAACTCATCCTTTTAAATTCTAGTTTCAGTTTCTACTGCCGTCAATTAAGGTGGTGTCGCTTGTGTGATTGCAGATGATTCTTGATGCCATAGAGCAAGTGGGTGGAATTTATGTAGTTACTGCGGATCATGGAAATGCCGAAGATATGGTAAAGAGAAATAAGTCTGGGAAACCTCTCCTCGACAAGGATGGCAAGATTCAAATTCTCACTTCTCACACTCTTCAACCAGTAAGTTTATTTCACCTCCTTTCTGCAGAATTTGGTGATGTTTTTTGAAGTTAAAAGAGTAGAAGATAATAAAAGCGGAGGCAGTTTCCTTGTGTAACGTACACTGGATTTCTTGAACTTGAAATCTTGCGGTTTTCTCACCTGAGCTGCCTGGAAACTTGCAATAATCCTTCCACTTATGGAACAAGTGGAATCTACTGTATCAATATGAATTATATCAGGTCCTAATGATTTAATCTAATTTTCCTTCTTTAGGTGCCTATTGCAATTGGAGGCCCTGGTCTGGCACCTGGTGTTCGGTTCCGCAGCGATGTTCCACAAGGTGGGCTTGCCAACGTTGCTGCAACCGTGATGAATCTGCATGGACTTGAGGCGCCAAGCAACTACGAGACAACTCTCATCGAAGTAGTTGATAACTGAGGAAACAAAGGAAAAAGATAGCGTTTTTGAGTTTTTATATTAATCTAAATTTTGACTGAATTTAAAGCCGTGCATAAAGGAGGCTGTCGATTGTGTAATGCTACCTGGCTTAATAAGTTAAGAAACTCCCATTTGCGGTCATAGTTTCACTTTCTGCTAGTTATCTGTGGACATTTACAGACCAGGATACAATTAGCGTGTGTAGAACCAATTCCGTTTCTTTTTTTCACGTTTTTCAAGACAAAAAAATGAGACTGAGAGAGAAAATGTTTTTGAAAGAAAAAAGGTAAAAAAATTGAAAACAATTTCATTTTTTAGTTTAGTGTAAAATCACTTAGAAAATGAAAACAATTTGAAGTTGTTTTTCATTTTTTTTTTCGTTTTCATTTCTTTAGGCAAATGTTTTGTTTTTTGGTAAATGGGTGAAAATTATATAACTAAACGGAGTTTTAGGTTTTTTTTAAATTGAAGATAATCTCTTAATAAAATTACTAAATGTATTTTTAAAAATGATTTTTATCTAAAATTAAACATGTTTTCATTTTCAGTGTCATATAAAAAATAAAATTATTTTGAAATTAATTTAGAATGTACTCAATATATCCAATTTTTGTTACTCTCTTTATTTTTGCCGTTACATGAAATTATTTTGGTTGTATGACTGCAAAATCTGAGTGTTCTCTCGTTCTCGTCTAATTATTCATTGTGGTGATGCGTTTGGTAGAAATAGATAAGCTGCCAGCTATATAATTAGCATGAATAGGGCTTAGGAGTATGATATCTCTTAAATTGAAAATTAATTAGGAACATATATTGTTGGTTAAAGCAATTAAATGTTATCGTACGTCCGTTTTTCTTTTTTCTTTTATTTTATTTTATTTATTTTAAGTCGCGTAAAGTCTTTGATAATTCCCGATACTTCAATCTTGGCGAACAAATTACTCCCAAACCTTGTCAGGATTCATGTAATAGTTGGCAATGCCACTTGTTCAATTCCTACCTCAAAAAGTTGGCAAAGGTAGAGGTCAAAAGTAAGGGGAAAAACTTACTGAGGGCAGGATAAGCAAAACAAAACAACTCTATTCAAAAAGAAAAAAGACACATTAACAAGTTAGCAACTAAAGGAACCACGCTCCTATCCTCTTTTCTACAGTAAAAGATAAAGATTATTTTTAAGATTACTTTTATAAATGTCCTTTGATCGATATAAATTAGTTTTTTTTTTTTTTTTTTTTTTTTTGTAGATATAAGTAAAGCTATTCATTAGGTCAAACTAGTCCAATCCAGTTGGATGTTGGATAGTTAGATTTTAATTAGAAATTGGATTTGTTTGATGAAGAGAGATTTATACAACAATCAGATTGATTGATGACTGATAAAAAAAACTAGTAATTTCGAGTGAATGACCACTCCTCCTTGATGTATTTTGCCAAAAAAAAAAAAAAAAAGAGGTATGCATTTTCAGAATCGGGTAAGTTGACTCAAAATCAATAATTTGAGGACAATAGTTTAATGAATTTATGAAATAAGATTTACAAATAACACAATTTATATTATGATGGTAAATCTTGAATTTAGTGTACAGTAAACTCTAGATTTACAAGCATAACTAAAAAATGTTTATCTTATATTAGTAAATTTAATATAATTTATTAACAGTAAATCCTGAATTTATACTTTAAATGCATGATTTAGTAATAAACACTATATACATTCTGATGGTAAATCTTTGATTTATATGTAAATTTGAGATTTACGAAGTAACATAAATTGTGTTCTGATAATAAATCTTAGATTTACAATGTAAATATATAATTTACGAATAACTCAATTAGTGTTCTGATAGAGTAAATCTAGGATTTACGAGCAGAACTAAAAAATGTTTATCTTGTATCAGTAACTTCTAAATTTACCTTGTAAATCTAAGATTTACGAAAGAATAAAAAACATGTTAGAAGTTCTGCTAGTTATAAATTTAGGTGAAGATGTTGGTGGTTTTAGAGCTACATGTTACATACTATCGATAGATTAAAAGCTTCCATTAATTATATTTTCAAAAAGAGTCTTATGCATATTAAAATCAATGTGTCCTCCTTTGTGTTTCATCGATGAAATCAATTTTTATCAAGTGTTTTATATAGTATGTACCACAGGATCATTCGTATTATTATTTTAGGCCCCGTTCATTTTGCTGATTCGAGTTTAGAATTCGAGTTTTGTTACAGTAAAAAGCTCTCAGAAACAGTCACATCTAACTTTTTTGTTACAGTAAAAGGCTCTCACACAACATCACATCTCAACTCGAATTAAAAACTCGAATTAGCGAACTGAATGAGGATATATATAAGATTATTAAAGCCTCGTTCACTTCGCAGATTCGAGTTTTCAATTCGAGCTGAGATGTGACATTTTCAGAAAGCTTTTTACTGTAGCAAAAAAAGTTAGATGTGACATTTTCTCAGAGCTTTTTATTGTAGAAATTTAGAATTGATAACTCGAATCGGTAAAATGAACGAGGCCTTGAATAAAATTTTATTTTATTTAAAAAAAAAAAAAAAACACACGTCCCATGAGGGCATTTCCTTTTTTTTTTTAATAAACAAAAGGTCATGTCAAATAAGGGAGACAGTGGTTTCTTTTCTTCCCGTCGCATTGGGGGCCACGGGACACATGTCTATCTCACAATTATGCCACCCACATCTCTCCCCTCCCTCTTTACTTTACAAAATTCAAATTTCGAAGCCATCAACGGTCATAAAAAAATAATAAAACAAAAAACAGAAAACAAAAAGAGGAGAAAAAGCCCGCTCGGCGCTATGAAATTCAAATTCTAGGGTTTCCGCTCCTGCAATTCCCAGTCGAAGAGGACGAAGACGAAGATCGAACTTCAATCAATCTCCGATCAAACTCCGAACCAAGAAGAAGCAACAATGGAGAAGTACGAGAAGCTCGAGAAGGTCGGCGAAGGCACGTACGGGAAGGTGTACAAGGCCAAGGACAAATCCACCGGCCAATTGGTCGCTCTGAAGAAGACGAGGCTCGAGATGGACGAGGAAGGCGTTCCTCCGACGGCTCTCCGGGAAGTCTCTCTCCTCCAGATGCTCTCCCAGTCTCTCTACGTCGTCCGCCTCCTCTGCGTCGAGCACGCCGACAACCGCAAGGACGCCTCTAAGCCGCCGAAGCCTGTCCTCTACCTCGTCTTCGAGTACCTCGACACCGATCTCAAGAAATTCATCGATTCTCACCGCAAAGGCCCCAATCCGAGGCCACTTACCCCCAGTTTGATCCGCATTTTCCTCTACCAGCTCTGCAAGGGCGTCGCGCATTGCCACTCCCATGGTGTTCTGCACCGCGATCTCAAGCCGCAGAATCTGCTTCTCGATAAGGAGAGGGGGATTCTCAAGATCGCCGATCTAGGACTCGGCCGCGCCTTCACTGTGCCGCTCAAGAGTTACACGCATGAGATTGTTACTCTTTGGTATAGGGCTCCCGAGGTCTTGCTTGGATCGACGCATTACTCCACCGGCGTTGACATGTGGTCCGTCGGTTGCATTTTCGGTATGCGGCTGGTCTAGATCGTTGAATTTTTGTTTTTGTTTTCGTTTCCCTGGTTTCACTGAATTTTTTGATGTTTTGATTTTTTGATTTATTTTATTTTATTTTATTTTTGTTTGTTCTTGTTTGAAGCCGAGATGGTAAGAAAGCAGGCTCTGTTTCCTGGAGATTCGGAATTCCAACAATTGCTTCACATTTTCAGGTATGCTACTATTGGATTAAATGGGGTATTGGTTGATTAGATTTATGCTTCTGTAATTTGGATCTCTAAAACAAAACACTCTTGACATTTTTATCACGAAACATTATAAAGTTTTGACTTTTTCGGCTTTATGGGGTGATAAAACAGGAAGCAAGGGTGTTGAAAAAAGCCTACGCTGTTTTGCTCTATTGCTAATTATTTGTTTTGATCATTAGCTTCTCAAGAAAAAAATGTAAATCCTTTAAATTTCAGGGTTTCTACCTTTTCGATCAGGGGATTAGTTTATTTTCTAATATCAACCATCCATCCATTTTTGGGTTTGATGTTCTATGCAGGCTGCTAGGAACACCCACTGAGAAGCAGTGGCCAGGAGTGAGTACTCTGAGGGATTGGCATGTGTACCCGCAATGGGAGCCACAGAACTTGGCTCGTGCTGTTCCTTCTCTTGGAGGAGATGGAGTTGAGCTTCTTTCGGTAATATTACTTGTCCTTGAAATGAAACTGTGCAATTCTTGAAAGGCAATAAGAAACTACCTCAGTGGTTTAGATGGACCGGAAATAGGACTTCTTAGTGCATTAAGTAGTGTTGAGCTTGTTAAGTAGCTCGGCAAATCATTAGTGAGCAGACTCAACATCAAAAATTTAGGTTGGTTCTATCTTAACAAAGCAAAATTTGACAAACTAGAGATTGATTTTCAAGTCTTCATGGATTGTTCTGCTTTCAATCACAAGTGGATTTCTCATGGACAGTATATTAAGTCAGTGCCCATATGATGCTGGCTAATTGGCTCTTAAGTTGTAGCTTTTACCATTTAGGCCTCGTTTATTTTACCGATTTGAGTTTTTAGTTTTAAGTTTTTACAGTAAAAAGCTCTCAGAAAATATTACATCTAACTTTTTTTGCTACAGTGAAAAACTCTCAGAAAATATCACTTCTCAACTTGAATTGAAAACTTGAATCCGCGAAGTGAACGAGACCTTAGTGTTTTATTATTTTTCTTCCATCGATTGGATATTTAGTCCAGATCTCTCGCTTTCCAAATTTTTATTTTAAAGAACTTAAGTTTATCCTACAACTTGTCATATATAGGACGTTGGATATTGTACCTACTTAAAGAAATGAATGCTTGATTGCTACATGATATTTGCTCATTTCATTGCAGAAATTGTTTCTATGTTTTAGTAAGATTTCTCCTCCTATTTTCAATAATATAAACAATTCCTGAATCCACTGCCTTTTACTTTTAATCTTGATTTGATGTCAAAAGTATCTTTCCTGAGTTTTGATATCTATCAATGGCTTAATCTCTGAATTTGAGTTGGGGGTCCAGCCATCTGTGCTATGGTTACTTTCACTGTTATTTTTTACACAAAAATCCAATAGCTAATTGTGTGTTTCTGTCTCGGACAACGCAGAAAATGCTGAAATATGATCCAGCGGAGAGAATTTCGGCCAAAGCAGCGTTAGAGCATCCTTACTTTGACAGCCTTGACAAGTCTCAATTCTAAAGTTCAATGGCCAAGACAACATAACATAATCTTGAAGTTTATCTGTCTGGGGTAATATGGTAGTTACCAAGATAATATGGTGTGAAGTCACTTATCATCATCTTGGTGATTCCAATATAGGATATGTTGTTTGCCGTTTGCATTGTGTTATAGATATCTGTTTTCCGGTAAAAAGAAGTTATATATATTTTCCTTTTATTTTGGCAGAAGTTTTTGAATCGTGATGTGATGAAGTATCTTGGGTGATTGTAAACACGGAGGGTTTTAGAAGATGAACATCCACATAATATTTATATTTTTTCGTAACACATTTAACATTTTCTGTCATAATTTGAATAACACTATTTTATTTCTACTATAGTTGTAAATTTATCTCATGCCACAACTTGTAAGTTATCTTTTCATAATCTGTAGGTTATTTTTTATAATCTGGAGATTATTTTTTCATAATCTGCATGTTATTTTTGGTAATGACATCAAAATTTTATGCCATGATATAAATAATAAAATTAGAAAAAATCATTGTTAAACTTGAAATTGTTTTATTAACTTATTTATTGCTGGAAAATAAAGAAGCATAAAGAATTGTGTGCTTGTATAACGGTCAATATCGTACAATGAACTTTGCTTAGTTTGGTATTAATGTTCGCTTCCAAAATCAGCTTCTGTTTGAAGAATTGTGTGCTTGTATTTGATAAATCTTTTCAATGTGCTTTTTAGAGAATTTTTAAAGAATCTATAGTCAAAATCAAAAGCAGTTCAAAGACAACTTTAGCTTTTAAATTATGTAGGAATCGGCATAGTACAATTAATAAAACTTTTATAATACCCTAATAAAATTTAAAATTTACAATCTTTTTAATTTAAAATTCAGACTCGTAATATAATATAATATAATAATACAATAATATAAAATAATTTATTATAGTGTAATAGTAAATAAATAATATCATAATTATATTAATAACTCTAATATTATTATTTTAT